TTTTTTTCCGGGTTATGAAGAGGAACATTATCTTGGTTTTCATAATTGAAATTGGTTTTCTTCAATATTTTGCGCACTTGATAATCTTGAGGAAATTCTTCTAATATTCCAATGGCTGACGCAATTTCTTTAGCAATTAATTTTACTTTAGAAAACCCATTTTTTCGATATTCTTTTAAAAATTCAATGATTTTTGATATACTATTAACAGAAATTTGTATATCAAAATTGATTGACTGCAGTTGCTTGCTGACAGGATTAACAATACTTAATATTTCATACCAAATAATAATAGAACATATAAATTTAAAATCACATACATTTTTAGAGCGTATGCATCTGCTTTTGTATGAAGACCATTCATTCCAGCTAAGTTTACATCATTCTTAATATGTTTTAGGGCATTACAAAGCTCTTCAAATTGATATCTTATGGGCCTTATCGCATTTATTCTCGACTCCCAACGCGTGTCGCAAACTTTCTTCAATGTTAATTTAGGTAAAAATTGAATCAAAATTTTCCATCTCTCAGTAGATGCCGAAAAAAATACATAAAGTTGTTGCACTATATTAAAAAATGAGACTGTGTAAATATTACATTTTGCTGCATCATTAACTACTAAGTTCAACGAATGAGAATTACATGGTACATAAAATGCCCGCGGGTTTATGTCAAGTATGCGTTTTTGAACTCCGTTATGTTTTCCTTTCATATTGGAGCCATTATCATAACTTTGGCCACGCATATCATTTATGTTTATTTCCAAATCAGAAAGCATTTTAATTATCCGGTCACTTAATCCAGTCCCGGTTTTATCAAAAANTACTTAATCCAGTCCTGGTTTTATCAAAAACTTCAATAAATCCAATAAAATGCTCATGTAAAACTCCTGTCTTAATACAAACATATCTCAATATTATGGACATTTGTTCCTTATGACTACAGTCAGGTGTGCANTCATTTAGTCCTTATGACTACAGTCAGGTGTGCAGTCTAAAATAATGGAATAATACTTTGCAGCTCTCACTTTGCTTAAAATATTATTTTTTACTTTTTCACTCATTAAATTAATTAATTCATTTTGAATTTGAGGACCTAAATAACGTACATGTAATTGTTTATTTTGAATCCTTTCTACGTGATCTTTTAAAACATTATCAAACAACTAAAATAATTCAATAATTTTCAAAAAATTGCCATTATGTGGTGAATTTATTATAGATGATGTTCCACGGATTGAAAGATTTTGCGCAGCCATGCAACGTAATATAGCGCATAACCGAACTAAAACAGACCTCCAATGTTTTATTTCAGATTCTATTTTACGTTGATTATGAGAATCAATAGTTTGATTTAATTTTAATTTTATAACCATTTCGTGCCAAGTTGAAAAATGAAGAATGTTTGTTTTTGAGGTTTCGTGAATTTTTAAATGGCCTGTTAAATTACGCCAATCGTTATATCCACATTCAGAGACCATACCTGAATCTTTTTTAAAACTAAACAACATACAACAGAAACAGTACACAGCATCATTTTTTTTTGAATAAACCAACCAGGATCTTTCTATTTTTTCTCCATTATTCAAAATTCGTTGATAATAAGCATCAGAAAATTTCCTATTTAATTGGTTTTTCGGAAAAGAATAATTTTTANATTTCCTACTTAATTGGTTTTTCGGAAAAGAATAATTTTTAATTTGCACAGGCCCTTTTTTTATAAGTGATATTCGAATTGAGTCGGTTAATTTTAGTGGCCAGTCACTTGGGTCATCTGAATGTTCAACACTATTTGTTTCCAATTCGTCATTTTCCGAAGTAATGTTAATTTCTTCATAATTAAATTTATCTGAATTAATAGAATCTTTATCAGAATCAGAAAATAAATCAACTTCTACCCGCGGCAAAGCTTTATCTGGTATTTCATAAGAAGTGGATTGTGAACAGTTTAAATTGTTATTTAATTGTATGTCCGAACTCTGTTGGGTTGTAGGTATATCAGAATTAGTTTTAGTTTGTGAACAATCATCATTCATTAGTTTAATTTCATCTACAGGTTTTTGCAATAAAAAATAGGTCTAAACTCTCGTTAAATTCGACAAATGTATAACGCACAAAATAAAAGTACCAACAGGTGACGATCGTTTTTCTCATTATCAGTAAATAAAATAGGTTTTTGGGAATACCGGCCACACGGTGACGCGTATCCAATTAGCACGCACTCGTAAGTGATATAACTATATATGTATATATATATATATAAGTACCGTTCTTTTTAATGAGTAATAAAATTACGACAACCACTCGTAACAATTCGAACCAATGAGCTCAGTATTACACGGGTCAATCACGGTTGCCCTAATCGGTCGTATCCTTTTAGTTTTAGGAAGTAATACCGTTAAATAAGGGCACCAGTAAAATGTGTTTTACCAAGTCGCAAACTTAAAAATCAAGAGACGAGCAAACAATACACCACGAAACGCTAACTAGAGCACAAACCAGTTAATGTAAACGTCGGAAAAACGAACAGAACGAAATAAAGACACACCAGTTGAGGTGTACGTCGAAAACGGAACAGAACGCAATATCGGTAATCCATATTCGGCGGCGGCCTTATCTCAGTGTCAAGGGCGGGGAGACGACCGATAACAACCGATTGTCATATTAATAGCTGGACGGCTGATATCGAGAGACACGGGTGAGCGCCAGCCTAGAGCAAAAGGCGGTGCCGTGTCAACGGGTAGTGGGCAATAATCTAAAAGGTATATATATATATATATATATATAGTTATAAAAGTATTCACTATAATATAGTGTATATATGTATAGTTATATTATAACTATGCACTGATCAATCGTAGTCGCAACAAAATAGCGGAGTTAATACGATAACAGTGTAGACGTAAAATAGTAATATTACTTCATTTTTTTTCGACGATTATTAATTTAATTTTGCCGCCCTAAAGCAATGCATGACTTGCTTGTACCCTAGCGACGGGCCTGGCCAGAAGGGCTACCTTTTTTTATTTTACTTATTACTGTTGTTGAGCCAGAAGGGCTACCTTTTTTTTTATACCCTTTATCATTTATTGTGTATTATTGTTTATTATTATATATTGTTATTGATTATTATAACCTTTTGAATTATTAATTTATTTAGTTAAGAGCACACACAAAACATATATACACACAGTATATTTATTAACAATTGTTAATAAGTCAACACTGATCACTTCATACNTATTTATTAACAATTGTTAATAAGTCAACACTGATCACTTCATACAGCTAGGTGATGTTATCGTAGGTACTTATGGTATGGCATAAGTATAATGTTTCATGTGTAATATATACACTATATATGCAAATAGATACTTTAGTATCTATTTGTTGATTGTTGATCTATAGAGATACACTGATAAATGTATATGGATTACGTTCTACGTTAGATAATATCTAACGTAATTATTTTGTTCTTATATTATAAAACTAAATCATTTATCACAGAACGTATATTATCAAATATTGGACACTTTCCTTTAACACTTGATACAATGTAAATTTTATTTCATACTGGTTTATTATCGGTATATAAATATACTATAATGTTATCTATCTACGTTATATTGTATATTAGGACCAATTACAAAAAGGTGAACATTCGGCTGACAATAGTCAGTAGAGTAATATTAACCCACATTTTTGCGTGTAACACATGTGTAAGTCGATGTGCATAAATGTTGAGGGAAACATTTCGTTCTATAACATCGGTCACAACGTAAAAAGTGGTATTTAGACATGAAAATACACTGCTTGAAGTATGTGACTTCAAAAGGGGTGTTTACTACCACAAAAGATTACATATTTGGGT